TTCAAAATCTGAATATGCAAAATGGATTAAAGAGTTTCTAAAAACAAAAAGGCCTCTAGTAAAATATGATTGCAAAAAACATAAATCATTTGTTTGCAGATTTTGCTTTGAGGAATGGTTTTATAGACCAAACTCCTATGCTCTTTCACATCAACCAGAAGAACAAGAAATCTGAGAAATTCAACCCGGTCAATGGTGTAACAAAGGTGAAAAAATATATAGACCAGTTACCGATATTGTATACTGGCCAAAGAATAGGTATTGAGAATCAATCAAAAATATTCCTGAAAGTACAGCACCCTCGATTCATAATCCTATTACAAGATGTTGGAAATCATATCTTAATAGAGAAGGTGGTTCAGGAAAAACAACACATGCAATTCGAATTTTTAAAAATATAAAAATTGTTGTATTTACTTATACAAATGCATTAGCTAAAAATTTTTGAGAAAAACATGATGTAAAAGCTCAAACCTGGCATAGTTTCTTCAGATAGAATGGAGTGGGAGAGTAGACACCTGAATGCATGGGAGAGAAAAAATTTCCACAAATTGTTATTTGGGATGAGATATGTACAGTTTCTAAGCATATTCTTGAAATGTTTATTAATTATTTATTAGAACATAAAGCCAGGTGATTTGTTGTGGTGATAATGCACAACCCCTGCTATTCTTTGGAGAAATTCCACATAATTGGTTAAAAGAGTATGCTGATTATTATGAAGAAGTTTTAACTGATTATCGTGCAAAATTCCCTAACTTACGTAAACTTAAAAAAGCTATATGTCAACAAAATAATCGAATACAATCAAAATTATTTTGAGGAATTCTCCCAACTATAGAAAAATAGGAACGTCTCGAAAAGGAATGGACTCCCTCAGATCGCATATTATTAGCATATATACTTTCCTGGAGAATTGCTTCCCAAAAATGTTTAGAACTTCATCAAATAAAATATACTGAAATTCTAATCCCATTAATTTATAGGCCAAGAGATGGACGCAAACAAAACTGCCTTGTCCAGATCCCTGGCCTATCTGAAAAGAAGGAGTTAGTAAAAAATGACATAGTATACTTATCCTTAAATACACTTTCTGACAAATTCTTAAAAGATATGTTGGCAGATAAAAAAGTTATAGATTGGGAACTTGGGTATGCTATGACTATTCATACTAGTCAGAGGATGACTCTTAAGTCACTACAGCATGTTTGGATTATTGATGAAAACTTAGTCTGGGATAATCTAATATATTTGGCAGTTGATCATGTGGAATATTTAAACCAACTCATTTGGGTTGAAGCACTTCCATTACCTCCTGAAATTGCCCAAGAGATTGAGGAGACAAAAAAGAAAAGACAGCTAAAGCACAAATTGAGACCGTCTATTCAGGAAAAACTTATCAGATATATAGGCCAGGACAAAGAAAAAGATCGTAAATTTGATCTAACAGTTGACTATATCCTCATATTAAAATGTATTCAAGAAGACAAATGTACATCATGTCTCACCGAAATGAAATTCGAATGGGATCAGCCAGGAAATATACTTCAGTGGACAGTAGATCGAATTCACAATAGTTTGGGGCATATTAAAGGGAATGTATGCCTTACTTGTCTTCTTTATAACTGAAATTATAGAGTCTAGATCATGGTAGTAATCCAGATGTATACATAGTTAATATTTTTTTTCTTTAAAATAAAAAAAAACATTTACAGAATACTTCAAGTTGAAGAACTTGATATAAAATCAAGATATTATGCAAAATTCTAAAAGAATAAAAAGTCTTAGTTAATAAAACCCACACATTTGATATATACAATATAATATGCATATATTTAACCCATTTACACTTTCAGAAACTATCGCTAAAATCGTCCAAAAAATGCCAACAGAAGATCTAAATAACTGTATTTATATTAATCGCATATAGTATAAAGAAATTTGTCATGAACTTTATAAAAGGCGAAAATACTTTAATATAAAATACTATAATTTATTAGAAAAATTAGACAGATGCTATAGAGGATCATATATAAATGATAATGAAATTGAGCCCATATATAATAATGCATTGACAATATTTGATGAGCTCGTAAAAGTAGAAAGGTATTTATTAAATAATAATATGATCTTCAGTAAAAGAATTAGAAATGCAATATTGTCAAATATTGAAGACTATAATTATAGAAACTCTCTAGATTCATATAATTTTGGAGAAGATACATTCGAATATATAAAATATCTAATGTAGGGAGAAGAAAGCTGACTTACCCATCTGCCATATATATTTTTTCAGTTGGCTTTTTGATCAACTTCGCATTCAAACACATGCTTCGATTATGGATAATAAAAATATATTACGTAAAAATCGGTTAGTTCAGATTGTAATCACAAAATTAAATCATGTCATGTTATAATGGGCTCGGAGACGATGTCATGTGTAAATCCAACATAAGCAAATCTTAGTCTGGGTCACGATCTATTAAATCACATGCAGTAGTGATATTATGTGTATCTTGGATAAATCGATCAATTGGCATAAAATAATACCCGAACTTATCATGTTTTTGCTCAAACTTTCTAGCATATTCTCAGTAGCATATAGGTAGTATTTGGCCTATATATCGAAGTTACTATAGAAGTTTCTGTAATATAAGAGATGATATGTTAGCCTTGTTACTTCTACTAATAAAATGAAATAATTTTGTTAATGATCGATGATATGCAATTTACCTCTAAATATAATTGGAGTGGTAAAATTAAATCCAGCATCTAACCAAAATCAAGTAATATTACACGAGTCAGGTTCTAGATATTGTGTATATTAATTGAGGTCTTGATGTGACAGTTATCATTATAATTGTAATAATTCATTATATCTACTAGATTTCATAAATGACACCTACCTTGATTTAAGTTACCCAGACCATATATTGTTAAGTCTTTAGATTCAGGTCTTCATTCTCAAAATCAGAATTTACACCCATATTGCGATAATAACGTAATTAATATTTTTTTCCAGTATGTTCTGGCCTTTACTAACAAAGAGATCGAATCAGATTTATTGCAAAGCAATGTCACTTACATGTCTAGGTCGTGAAATCTTATATAAAAGGGATTCAAAAATTTTTAGTCAATCCTTCTACGCTCTTATTAGTAATATCTGTAAAAATAAAAATAATTAAAATATTTAATAAACTTTTATATCTTGTACCTTAATTTTACCAAGATAATAAAAAAAATTTCTAGCCGTAATAGTCCTGCTAAGAATGACAAAATAAACCTCATTTATTTCATCTGTTTCATACGAATTAAGGTTGATTTCGAGTTGCATATTTGCTAGATTACTCCACACTCGTGTATCTATACTAACGATCTTTTTTTTCCATTAATAGATGTTTTTGATCAATATTTTAGAAATTGCACTATTTTTGGTCTTTGTATGCCTAATGTTATTTGCTGAGAAAATCACCGTTTATCTGATTTTTGTTGCAATGTGCTTCACTATGTATATTATCAAACAACAACTTACTGCGGAATTCAATGCACGTGTTGAAAGATTAACTGCAGATATTACGTTACGAGATGCTACATTTGTTGTTGAGAGACAGAAAATTGTGGCAATAGTAAATACTATAATTGAAACTATTAATGAAATTACAACCAATTATGATTCTCTTCATGATCAGTTGGATCATTTAACTGAAACAGGTTCTGTGGCACTATTAATATCTGAACAATTTGCTGGCCCATCTATACCTACATCTAATTCTTCCCAAAGATCTTCTGGTTCTTCTTTTAGATCTTCTGGTTCTTCTTTGGGTTCTTCCAGTGGCTCAAACTAATTATCTTTTTCTAATATTACCTCAACAACCAGAAATCACTTTAAAATTCTTTTTGATAAGATTATAACAGATAATAATTATTCTTTAGACAATATATGTAATATAGTGTCTGTTAAGATTCGTAGTCTTGGGATGGGAAAGATTAGTAAGGAAACTATAAAAAATTTTTATTATAATAATGGTGATTTTAGA